AGACGTCTTCGAATCAAGTGAGGCAAAGCCAGAGAGATACATCAGCTGTTACTCTGCCAACGTAAAACGTAATAGTAACACGACTATAATTTATTTCTAAGGAGAAGTTATTTGGAGTTCATGAAATGGACATATTCAAAACCAAGCTGACAAGCAGTCTCTCTCATGAAATGATAAATTACTAAGAAACACCAATTTCTACTTCAATGTAACTGGAACAGCCACATAATTCTACCCCAGTGCTTTGGTGAATCAGCCCAAAAGTGCCAAAGTCTAATAAAGCTAAACTATGGACTACAATAATTACGGTACTATCAGCAGAACAATTTTAGAATGACTTCAATTTAATTTTCAAATGACCTTAATTTCACTTGAAATGATTCAAGTGATTTTTTTCCACATCTAAATATATACAAATGAGTACAGTACTACATATGCAACTAGGGATTTATAAAAACCTAAGTAATGCATTTCAAATATGAAATCAATTCATTTCCTTCTAGCACCAATTATGTGTGATGGTTTTGAAATATAAACAGTTAGCAACATGTAATATATTTTTAATATGGGTTTCATCAGCGTCTTTTGACTTAAGCTAAATGGTAATGATGAAAAGTAGACCATTTGCTTAAAAGCAAACCTCTTATTAAATCTAGACCATCATGGCATAAAATCAAACCACAAAAAAAAGAACTGCATTATGTTATCCCCCTTGATTTTCTGAATAAAAATGAAGGTTTCCACGGAGTGTAAATGAAAATAAGACACTCAAATTTACTGAGGCAAAGACAGGTTCTAGAAAATTAAAGTCCTTTCTAGTTCCTTGGCTGTAATCCTAACAAGTCACTACCTTATTTCAATGAGCAGATTTTTCTAGGGTGAAAATAAGTGCAATTTGTTTTGTCATTGTCACTAAAATTTCCTGTTAAATCAGACTTTGATTGGAAAGGCCGGAGTACTTCTTGCCGGTCTTAAATGGCAACTTTCTTTTAAACTTCTCTATTTTATATCCAATAGAATTTCAAGTTTACACGATGTACATTCCTCAGGTCCAGTCATATTAAATTCTGATGTTAAGCAGAGAGGGGAAACCGTGTACAATTAGATTAATTTATCTCAAGGGAAAAAGGGCACATTAATAATTGAGATGTTTTCATAAATGTTAAAATCAAATGGGCCCTTTCACTTCTTTATTAGAAAACACATGAGAGCAAAATTATCTCCCTCTCATCAATAAGACCTAATTGCTGAGAAAGAGATTGTTTTCTTTGCAAAATATTCTGAGAGATTTTTCTCATTAGGGCCAAATAGCTGGAAATATACCATGCATCCAACTCTTCTTACTGGAATAAATGTCTATAAGCAAAGCGAGTGATTGTTTAATCCATCCTGTAATGTTTTTGGTTTAAACTATCTGAATTATTTTTTTTATAAAACACATTGAAATCTGATTCTAAAAGAAACTGTGTCCCCCCCATGAAAAAAATACTAGTAACTTGGCTTTCAGTTTGTTAATCTCCTCAAACTACAAAAAAGTCACCTGAGCTTCTTGCTTAGAGAGAGAAAGAAAAGAAAAACTCTTAGAATTTCCCATAAATACCCCAAAGAATCAAAATATATGGAAGGTAATGGAATGATGTTTAACTTTCTTTAAATTGCTCTGTTTTTAAGAACCAGGGTTATACACCAAGCAAATATTAACTAAAAGACGATAGGACACTGACAAAACAATCTAACCAGCTCTCCACGGCTGATGTATGGTAAATATTAAAGAACCATTTTCTACAAAGAAAATGGAGTTTTTAATGATTAAACACAAGGAGTAACTAAGGTGAATCTGATTCTTTCTGTAATAAGCCTTCATGTGTATAATAAAGTACAGACATACTAAAAACAATGAACTGTAAACTGAAACAAAAATCCATCATCTACTTGGAAACAGTGACGGGGAAAGATTAGCAATCCATTTATTGTACTGAAATAAAGATAAGTAGCCCTGGGAAGACCCATCAGGAGCCGAGTATTGAACTCTAAATATAAAGACATTTCTTCATCAGCCAGTGACTTGGAAAAAACGTGAGAAGAGAAATGATTCCAGTTGACTTTTAAAATGAAATGGTAATGCTTCAACTGCTTTTAAGTTCTTCAAGATCTGTTTTATGTCAACCTGAGATTCTGGAAGATATCTGAAAGAATGTGTTTTTTTTCCACTGGATAATTATTACATGAGTCATGAAACCATTATTGCCAAAAGTTTCCTATAGATCGACCATATATTCCGATTACTGAGTCTTTCCTACTACAAATAATACGGTGATTACAATTTTTTCACAGGACAATTTCGGTTTGAAAGCAAAGGCGGACATTGAAGGAACATTCTGGAATCTCCGGTTATAAATTTCACTCAATTCAAATTGGCACATTTCAGAAAAAGAATACATCATGATGCTTACAATTTAAAAAAAACCTCAGACCTCATAGCTTCACAATAATTCTACTAATAAAACCCTGAAACCTATTAAAATAAGTGTTGTTGCTTACAAATGGACATCAGCACTAAGGTACCTGGCCCCAGTCGGTCTCATTTTATAGGATCTCCCGGGAGGCAGATACATTTTGCACGGCTGCAGTTTTAACATCCCTTCAATCCCCTCGCTGTTTGCTTATTCTAACTGTTCTTACAGCTGATAAAAATAAACAGATCATGTCCTGAAATTAGGAGGAGGGGCCCATGAATCACTCGGGCGTGCATACTCCCAGCAAGGCTTTTTTTTATAACACAGAAGTAACTCACACACCTGAAGCTACAGGTAAGACGCACTTCCTGTCTACGGAGAGGACAATGACAACAACCCTCAAGTCCCACTCTCCTTATTTGAACAGAATTTTAACTTCATCAAGTACGAGGAAAGGTACAAAAGGAAAGGCTCCACAGTTTTCAGTATTAAGATAGATCATGATACCCTACACATGTAGTGACGTCCGGCCAATATACTAAGAATCCAAATCCTTTAAGAAACAAAAACACACACACACACACAATAAACTATGGGATTTTCTTCACGTTTACGGCTTTGCCCCTGGCACTCTAAAATTTGATGAGCTCAAAACCTGAGGCATCCGAGGGCAACATAACAGTGTTCAGTCTTAACGTGTGCACACAGAGCAAACCCGTGCCGTTGAACAACAGCTTTACGATCTCCCCAGAAAAGTACTGGCGGGCCTTTGACTGTACGGTATTAGCGCTCCTAATAACACTACTGGAACATGAAACGTGCCTGGAAGTGTTTTATAAACTTTAAACCGCACTGGAGGTTACAACTAATTAGTCAGAAACAAAAACCAACCGGGAAATATTTCAAAACCAGATGCTCTGATTATTTCCCACTTGTCAGTTTTTCCAATCCCCAGAGCTCTAACTTCTAACCTGGCTCTATGTTCCAAGGCCTTTTCTCCTACCGTGTTTTCCTATTTAAATTTCTGGTTAAAAAAAATTTTTTTTTAAGAAACACTATTTGGTAACATATCAATGCCCCTTGTTCAGGAATCCTACTCTAGAAGATTAAAAATGTGTAACTGTTTCCCAATTTAGGAGTGAAAGGGAACCGGGGAGCCTGGGCACGGGCCTCAGCAGCTAACTATAGGGCATATGCTGCCCAAGGCCGCCATGCGGTCAACTCGGGCTGGTGGGCTGTGAGCTCAGCCAGTTACCTCCTCCCCTATCCGAGGAGGTTTTTACAGACGCAGGCCCCAGCACCCCATTGCCAACGGCCATGTAAGGTTCTGGAGACCAGGTTTGTTTTTCACAACACTGCATCTCCAGGCCCTCAGGTAGCGCTGGCCAGAGTGCTCAGCAAAAATCCCGAGTGGATTAGAGTCCGCTGAGTTTTGGAGCATGTCCATCCCGACAGGCCAGCGAACCAAGCGTGTGAGACATGCTGCAACAGAAATGACCATTAATGGGGCCTTAAGGTCCACGCCGACTTGGCCACTGTCACAGAAGAGACTTTGTTGTCTATTTCCATTCCATTACACTGCCCGGCCTGGGGCAGACCTGCACATGGCCCTAAGGGTAAAACTCCTAGCATCTCGTATTTCATAAATCACTCCATGGGTGACAGGTGGCTAAAACTGGTGGGGAGATTACCTATGGCCAAGACTCTGCCTCTTCTTCAGAACTGGATCTCGATAATCAACCGTCAAGCTCTGGGAAGAATCTCCGATGAACAGGTTTCAAATGAACTGTTTATTTTTAAATAATCGCAGGGGAGAAGATTGTGCCACTGAAGTACTGCCGTGAATTGGGTGCTATCAAAGCGCTCGGAGTTGTCCTATGTTTTGATTCTCTGTCTTGCTGAAGACTGCGTAATTGTACTTTGTCAGAGAAGAAGCAGAATTTGTGATTTCTGATTCACGGCCCCATTTGCTTACTTCGGGGGCTCGGAAAGTTACGAAACACGTTGCAGTCTAATCCGGGGTTTACAAAATTGCTTTTATCTGAGAAAACGAGACTGGCTCTCTTCCTCCTGTTCATGCTTATGTCCCTTCTTGCCCTGTGCCCAAAAACATACTGGAAGAGCTCAGAATGGGGCACAAGGTTCTAGCTTACACCCCCAATGCCCGGCCTCCTCTGCTCTCTCACCTCACCTGTTTTGTTTTTGTTTTTCTTTTTCTCAAGATCCTGGGGCACCAGCTGGAGTCAAATCCATCCCAGCTGGAGGAGAGGCTTGTTAAGGGCATTCCAACCTCAGAAACCCGGAGCCCCGGTCTTTCTGCCCAGGCACCTCTTTACTGCAGGCGCTGCCGATACCGGGCATTTGCATGATCAGAGAAACTTACCCTCTACGACTTTCTGGAGAACAAGGGAGGCTCTCCCCAAAAAGGACAAGCCCCCCCGCCCCCCCAACCACCACCACCACCACCACCACCACCACGGGCCAGGCTCTTTGTCGGCCACAGCTCGGGCTGGTTGGCAAGGTGCTGGGCGGCGAGTGACTTACCTCCCAGAGATGCTGCGTGTTCCTCACAGCGCCGGCCTGCACCTTCTCCGGGGGCAGGAGGACGCCCTGGAAGGGCCCGATCCAGGTGCCCTGCTGGATCCTTTGCGCCGCGCAGATGCCGTAGGCCAGGCCCGGCACCGTGCTGGTGCACAGGCACACCTCCCGCGGCAGGTCCCGAAGCCACTCGGGCAGCTCCGGCGGGGGCGCGGCGGCCGCGGCGCTGCTGGTGCCCACGAGCCGGCGCAGCGAGTGCAGCGGCCCGTGCATGGGACACTCGCCGTTGCGGTTGTCCGCGCACATGTCGCAACCTGCCGGGAGACGGGCGGGAGGGAGGAAGGGAAGGAAGAAGGTTAACCTGCTGGCTCGAGGCGGCCCAGCGTCGGGGAGACCCCGGGGAAAATAGCATGCCCCTCCCGGGTAAGCCACCTGCGAGGGAAGTGAGGCCGCTGCGAACACGGGGAGAAGTAAATACGCACCTCTCGCTTGCAAATCGCAGCACCCACATCGGCCTAGTAGGGGTCGAGACCCAGGGCGCCCCAAAAGCCCTGCGAGGTGAGGACGGCGGGGCGGCTCTGCGGAGCCCAGGGCTCGCGTCTTCTCCGCGAGGCCTTGCCCCCTCCGCCTCTGCTTCCCACTTCCCCCTCCTCGGTTCCCACGTTCTCTCTCTACCGGGTTTCCAGGTGTGTTTAATACCGTACTGCGAAAAGAGCCTGTCTCTTGCTCTTCTACCTCGGAGACACTGCACTTGGATCACCTGGGTATATCTGGTTTTCCACTTTCTACAATTATAGAAACTCCTTCTAGAATCTCCAAGGCGGGTGGGCAACCCATCTAGCACAGAGCGGCCTTCCTACTCCTAGGGACCCCCACACCAGAGGGCGGAGCCGGTCTTGGCTCACAAGACGCCGGGAACCCCAGACGAGCGCCAAGTAGGGCGCACTGGGTGCTGGCGTCCCTCGCGAGCCCGGGCAGCACCCACCACTCTGGCCACTCCAGTCAGAAGGGCACGGGTGGAAAAGAGAAGACTGTTCTGGCAGGTTTGGGGTACCTGTCCTGGAGTGCAAGCTCTTGCCAGAAACCAAAAAGAAATGAAGAGCAAATGTAACCATCAAGATAATGGGTCGTTAAGGTTAATGGTTGGATAATGGTTGGGTGGAGGGGGCCTCAACTCCTGCCCAGACGGTCCATCCCCAGGCTGAATGCGATTATCTACAAGGGAACGCAAAGCTGCTGTGAAGGAGGTCTCCACCGTTCCCCAGGACGGCCAGCAGCGCAAGGGGATCCCTCACCTTCCTTCTGGGCGGGGGAGCTGTGGATGCCCGGCGTCCCTCGACTAAAAACTCGATGAGAAAAGGCCAGGCGGCCGCGGGAAGCCCGGCCTGCGGCGACCGCGCTGTCGGATCGCAGCGCCCTCCGGGTTATTAATGGGCCTGGCGGAGCCGCGGTGTCTGCGCCCGGGGCCATGCAGACCTGCCTCCGGGAGGCAGCGTGGGCGCGCGCCGGCGTGACCCGGCCTCCCCCCGGCCCAGCTTCTCCGGGGAACCCGCGGCGCCCGGGCGCAACGGAGCCCGATGGCACCGAGCATGAGAGCATGATATCAGGCCAGAGCTGGGGAACCGTCGCCCTTGGGACCTCGCAGCACCTGCGCCTAGCTTGGGTCGCTGCAGGTCCTGGTGGATCGCCCTACGTGTGCCCTATCGGTGCTAAAACAGAAGAAACACCCACATAACTCTGGACGGACGAAGTGGGTCATCAAGGAAGGAGCCCCTAAGGGCAAGCAGCCGTGGTGGGTGGGCGAACCCCCCTGGTTTGACAGCAAGCTGAGGGCTGCCCATGTGAGCATCCTGCCTCCATGGAGAAGGGCTCTCTCTGGCTTCGCCTTCCCCTCAGTCAGCCATTCCCTCACTCGTCCCAAGAGAGCCCAGGAAATGACACGACCCTCTGACTGCAGCTCCCCAGGTCCCTCCAGTGAAAAGCAACAACCTGTTTCTACAGGCAGGGAAGTGTCAGAGCCTCTGAGCCTCCATAGCACAAAAGCTCCCTCTCCCAGTAACACAGACCAATGTACATCCTGTGTAAGACTCTGCTTTTGACTGGACGGCCTAGATGGAAGGTGGTCCTGCCCTTGCCGTATGTCAGCCCTTCTGGATGTACTTCACACAACCTCTCAAGCTTCTGATGGTGAAAACAGAAACTTGAAGACAAAGGGGGAATGGAAAGAAAGACGATAAAAAACTCCAAGTCACCCACTGCCTACAGTGTCCCAGATACCTATCCGGCACCAAGCAATCACCCCATGGTCCCCATTTTGCAGAGAAGCGATTTAAGAATTCATGAGCAACGTAACTAGACAGAGGCTCAGAAACTAGGAAGTGGGAGAGGAAGGTTCACAGTCAGCTCTGCCTGACTCCTAAGCCTCCACATCTAAAAAAGATCTAGGGAGACCAATGAAAGCTGGGAGAATTTTATATCCACACTCATAACCGACTGAATTATTTCACCGGAAGCACTATTTGTGAGACACAAAATCTGCTCTAGCATCAGTGAAATTACAAAAATTTCTGGATCTCTCTCCCCACACTCCTGGGCCCGGGGGGGGGGGGGGGCGGTGTTAAATGTGTGGGAACGTGAATACATTATGTCTACAATTCTGAAGTTTACAGTCTGACCTCAGAGAGGACCTTTGAGCTCCTGAGCAAAAAGAACTTAAAACCAATGACCATAAGCAAAGGCAACAGGCCCATAAAAATAAAAATAAAATCACCCCAGGGAGTTTCTTAGCCCACCTTCCTTTCTGGTTGGCTCAGTGAACCAGCATGAGAAGCAAGGCCACTTGGTATTCCCTCCCTATCATTCTACGCCAGAGATCTCCACCACGCACATTATCACACCAACTCCATGAGCAATAAAATAAGGAGGTACCATCTCCAGCCACCACCCCCACAGACAGGGAACAAGACTCCCAATGTTTGTGATGCATGATAAAGCTCTGGCGAACTTTTCTTTAAAGAAGCCCTCCTAGGGGGCGCCTGGGTGGCTCAGTCGGTTAAGCGGTTAAGCGTCTGGCTTCAGCTCAGGTCATGATCTCACAATTTGTGGGTTCAAGCCCCGCATCCGGCTCTGTGCTGACAGCTCAGAGCCTGGAGCCTGCTTCAGATTCTGTGTCTCCCTCTCTCTCTGACCCTCCCCTGCTCACACTGTCTTTCAGAAATAAATAAAAGATTAAAAATTTTTAAAAAGTCCTCCTTAGAGAGTTGTACCTCTCCTCTACCTACTGCGTTTCATTGGCCTCTAGCACGTGTTGAAAAACCCACTAGTGGCATTTTGCTGAATCAAAACCTGAGTTTCTCCCAAAATCTACAAGACTACCTGTGTGTGAAGTCCACAGCAGAGCAAGGAAGGCCTGTCCACTTTAATTCCATGAGTCTTAATTTATAAACCACTGCATGCTATATCAAAATATTCTGCTAGAGAAGTTGACCAATTACATCGAAACACGTTCTATCCTGATGTTGTTTGTTTTCTAATATAGGAAAGCTCTGCCATTGAAAATAAGTGGCCCCTGACTCAGGTCTCGGAGTCCCAAAGGAGTTAGAAGATGCTTAAAACATGTAACTTATTACTCAGAACTGGACAAATGTGGTGGAAGTAGACAAACATTGTAGCAGAGTGTTTTCTCGAGAGAACCGATAAACACCCACAAGAAAAGGTTTGAGGGAGAAGCTGACTGGACCCCCAAACTACCATCACCCCAAAGATGAATTTTTTACATACCGCATATACATTTAATATGTACATTACACACAGCATTGCCTACCGAGCAATACATAATACAAGTCCATTTGTATTCACGAAGAGTAAGCAAATAAGTGTTCCCAGTTTCTCCTAAAATCAGGATAATTTTTGATACAAGTTCATAATTATTATTTGCAAAGTGTTTTCTGGGTCTGGGAGAAAGACGATCAGATTCTCCAAGCAGGATAGGCTGAAATGCCATTTTAGCATTAGGCAATAGAAGAGAGCAGGTCCCTCCTCTAGCCTGAATAGATCCGCCTGAGCTCCCGTTCATGGGTCCCTGAATAAGGGAAGGCGGTATCACCAGGTTACAGCCTTACCCACCTACTGACTTCTGAAGGCCAGGCCAAGTGTAACAAAGAGCGGCCTTGGACTGACTCTTCGTCTCAGACCCTAGCATACTGTTTGAATACTGTTCAAGCGCACGCACTACTTGGTGCAAATGAAAATGGGAGTAACTAAAGCGGGCTGAGCAGGCCATGGTTTTCTTTTCTGGTGCTGAGTTTCTTGTTCTAGGAAAGGTGAAATGTGACACGTTTCAGGACTTTTTTTTTTTTTTTTTTTTTGCCGTCCGTAGAGGCTGACGGACCCGCGGGAAGCCCCCGCCACCCTAGGCCCAGGCTCCCCGACGCCTGTCGGCCGCCGCCTTCGCCCAGCTTCGCTCATCCTCTGGAGAGGAAACGGAGGAGCAGCTGAGAAGCCTGCCTCTCTGCCTGGGCGGCGGTAACAGCTAAGCTATAAATCCTCCGCGACCGCCGCTGAGGTCGCGGCCCCTGGGTCCCGCAGGCCGAGCCCGGCGGGGCGGGTGCCCATCGATCCCGCCCGGGGAGGCGCCCGGGGGTGCCGCCTGCTGGCAGCTCCGCGTGCGCTCCGGGTGCGGGCGCGGGGACGCGGGGGCCCCGCGACGGGACGGGGGCGGGCTGAGCCCCGCGGGCCGGGACCTCCCACGCCGGGGCGCACGCCCCCCAGGGCTCGGGCCGGCCCTCTCCCGCGCGTCCTCCGGCGCCAGCCTCCAGACCCGAGCGGACGCGCGGCTTGGCGCGCCGGGGGCCTCTCCGCACCCAAGTCTGAAGCTTGAAGACCCTGGCCCCTTCCTGCCAGCCAAGGGCTTTCCTAGGAGACCAGAAGTGGCCGCCGCCACTGCACCCCCCCCCCATCTGTGCCTCTACCCTGCAAGGGTCTTTTTGGCTCCCCCAGAGGTTCTAGAGGCACATCCAGAAGGCGAGGCCGGTGAGCCGGGCCACCGGGAAGGGGAGCCGAATGTGGGCGCGCCGGACCTTCTCCAGATCTCTCCCGAGGGGAGCTCAAAGCTCCCCGCGAACCGCAGGCGCGCTGGGCGCTCCCTGCTCCGCCTGGCTGCCGGCTTGGCCCGGGGACCAAGAGGGAGAGACAAAGAGGGGAGGAAGAGAAAGAAGGGAGGAGGCCATGTGGATTTTATTTGTCTTCCGATGACCGTATTAATAAATTAAGTGGGAGCGCCAGCGTGTGCTGGCGAGGGAATATTGGGCCGAGATAAACCTCGCCGGCCCCTGCCCCTGCGAGGCCGCCATATACAATGCGGAGATGATAAATAGGACCGAGAGGAGATCGAAGCGGGCCTGGGCTGGCCCCACTCTCTCCTACAAAACTATAGGGCAATTAATTGTGGCTTGTCCCCTCATCCTTCATCTCCTGGTGGCACATATCGATGGAGATTACTGCTGATGGACCATTTTATCACCTTAAATAAACAGTCGCCACCACTCCTAACCTCAATCTAATATATGGCTCTATGTTCAGTTTCAGGGTGCTAGGTAACGAATACTGTAAAATAGCTAAATCATCTGTGTTAGCAGACGGGGGGCTGGGCCTGCACACAAAAAGAGAGAAAAGAGAAAAAGAAAAATAGAACAACACAAAAGCCCACACACTGACTCCGAGCCTCCCTCCCACCAGGGACCAGGTCTGAAATCTAAGTGGCCTGCGGTTGACAGCAGGGACGCTGGGCGGGAGAAGCAAAGCCTGTGCGAAGGTCGGTGGCAGGAGGATCCCACTGGGGGGTTAGTGGCTCCGAACCTTCCCAAAACAGGACCTACGTTTCCCAACTGGGTGGGAAGAGATTGGGGAAGGTCAGAAAATACTCACTCTTCTTTTAGTTCTCTAATCCCTCAGAAGGACAAACCCCAGACTCATTCTCTCCCACAGCTCCTCTCCCCAAGCCCTAGGAAAAGGGTAGCACGACCAACAGGAAAGCCTGGCGCCCTACTCCTACACCTGGGCACCAGCCAGTGCTGTTCCCACTACTGTTCCTTGCGCAGCAGGGCTCCCTCTGAAACAGAAGGAGGCAGAGCCCGCCATCTGGGGAAGTTACAAAATGCCCCTACTCCACAAGCAGACACCCAAAGTGGACTTAGCTCCCAACTCCCTCCCAGATACAAAAAAGAACATCTTCACTTAAAAGGGACGAGAGGAGGCAATCAGCCCGGCCCAAGGACTGCCCAGTATCATTTCCTACAAACACCAGGGGCACCCTGTGGTGGCCTTTCACTACCTTCCAAGAGTAATTACGGGGTCTCAGGCACCTCACCAGCTCCCTGAACCCCAGAAGAGGCCACCGCAAAGGAGCCTGGGGTTATCAGTGGCTCTAGGCAACCAGGCAGCAAATGCAGGCAGTAACACAAGAGAAGAAAGAAAGGCCCCATCCTCTGTTTCTATCACACAATGCCCATCGGTGTCAGAGAGATGGAAAAAAAGAGGCAAATAAGCATTGGGAGAGTCAGTGGAAAGTGTACTTCAATCGTGCGATAAAATAACCCACAGTCAGATAAGAGAAACACAACAGAAGAGTTTATGGGGCTAGCTTTTACAGTTTCTCCTGTTTTTAAGTGTGTGTGTGTGTGTGTGTGTGTGTGTGTGTGTGTGTGTGTAAGAAAGCCACAGGACCCTTCGCTATGCCTTCTCTATGGCATCTGCCTAAGATGCCAATAATAAAGTTTCAAGGTGAAAGGAATGTTCATTATTCCTGTGTGTTACTGGGTTGTGGCTCCCAGGTAGAGTTACTCTCCTAAAGGGAGAAGGGAAGTGAGGAGGTCCCTTTCTTTGCCTTGTAAGAAAAAGACAAATGCAAAGTATTTAAATACAAAGTAATAAAATGAAGCAATGCCCAGTGGTCATTTCACAGAATCAATTCCTTTAGAGGAAGATGGCAAGAGACCAAAAGGAAACCAGGAAAAGGAGAGCAGAATCAATTAATAGGCACTTCCCTCTTGTCAGCCTCTCACCCCACCCCCACCTGCCTAGAACGTAGGGGGCAAAACTGTGGTTTTCCACGTCTTTCTAGTAACCGAGGAACTTTCCCCCCAGCCAAGGCGGGGGGAAAGAAAGCTTCCCACCCTTTGCATTTCTGTTTTGTTTTGATCCCCTTGCTAGATTAACCTCAATCACTTCTCACTCCATCTTTGCAAAAACACATCCCAAGGTTTCAAAAGAGTGTGTGCTCTTGCCCAGAGAAGTTTCTGAGAGCCTGGCAGGCCTGGTCCGCCAGCCCTGTACAGAGCGACCTCAGCTTTCTATTTTCTTTCTCCATTGCCCCTTAATTAGGGAGCGACATGATATTTAATAGGACAATCGGGCCGTCTTTCCCGTCTGTGTTTTCCCCTGCACTTTGCACAGGGAAGCCCTCCAGTCGATTCAAAAGGGGATAGGAATGATTCGCACGATAGGAATGATTTAGATCAATCATATATCATCTCCTGCGGCCAGAGGGAAAAGTTACCTGGGCAATAAACTGGTTCAAAGCCACATATTAATTAGGCAATCTATCCCTGTACTTTCTCAGATTGATCTAGGGTCTTCTCTGGTGAAAATGCCCTGAACCTCATGATTTCCCTGCAAACAGTATAGGAGCTCAGGGCACAGCCTGGGCTTTTGGGGTGTTCTGCTGGCATTTTTTTCCAACACTCATTTAATTCAGAAGAGAAACTGCAAGCTTGAAGAGGCACCCTCAGCCCACAATCACTATGTTTTATTTAGCGGTCAGAAAATGTCTTTTCCAAAGCATTACTTGCCTTTCTTAATTCACATAAAAAAAGAAGGAGGAGAACTGCTTTGAAAACAACACATTCAAGAAATTCAGTAGGAGATAAGCATTTTTTTGAAATCCACTAGGACAATATAATTTTCTAAAATTTTCTAAAGCTCTGAAATACGAAAGTCTTCTTAACTGCAGGGCAAATTCAAGTTGAAACCCTCATTTTAAACCAGTACTTTACCCTCAAACTCTAGAGAGGGGGAAAAAAGTAAATACAACTGCTCTTTTGGTTAGTTATAATTATCTCCATCAGAAAAATTATCCCCATCTCTTATGAAAAGACTAAAATACCTCCAGCACTAGGTTCATGTCCAGTGTTTTCTCGTCAGAGTAATGACACCGGGAGCCCTTTCGCTAAAACCTGGAGTTGCTTTGTTTTCACAACGAATTAAGAAGTTCTTGGAGCGCTAGACATTCTGCGGGAGGGGACTTCTTCCCACACAGAATGATAATACATGTTTACCATCCACTTTCCTCATACAGAAACTAAGCGGAGAAATGAGATGAAAATAGCTGAGTGAGGGCTGATCTTTGGAATCCTGTACCGCTTTCCAGCACCGACTTTCTTATCTTGCTTTACTAGTCTCTCCAGAGATCTCTGGAAGTATACTTAGCACTTACACCAACGGCCTTAGGTGTAAACATATCGTAACTTCTGAAATTACGAAAAGAACTGGCTACCGGGCAATACGCATGCTTGGTCTTCATTCAGTTTTGCTTCAAGACCTCACGATGGACCTGTACTGGGGAGGTCTGAAACTTTGAATACAGGCATCCAAGCAAGAAGAGACCTTCCAGCTTTAATTAGGCATTTGCCATTTACTCGGCAACAAAGAAAGCGCACTGCTAACACGAAACTAACTACTGTCGTTCTTATTTTAAAAAAAGAAGTAAGCAAACCACCAAGCATGCCTACGGATTGCGAACGGTTTACGCGATCATGGGTGCACGGAGAACGCGGGATCCGCAGGGAACACCCTACCCTGAAGTCGGAAATGTTTTCTCATTGAGCAGTTGCCAATTTTTCTTTTCTCCCTTTTCTAAGTAAAGAGAAGACCCAAGAACAATGCCTGCCTGCAGGGAGAGACTGACCCAGCGTCGTCCAAAATTCCTACTCCAGCGGGGCCGGCCAGCCAGCAGCTCGCGGCGGGTCCCCTGACAACCCCGCGGCCCGAAAACGAGCAGATGTAGTTAACCCCAGAGGTGAGGCAGAGAGAAGGAGACCCAAACCCTGCATTCCACGCGCCCCAGTAATGCTGAGAGTCCCTCCCGTGTCCCACTAAGGCCAGGCCCAGCCCGTCTCAGGCACTCCCCAGCGTACGCTGCTAGTACCCGCCCGGTCCGGGGCACAATCCCGAGGGAGGGCGGAGATCCGAAAGCCCGGTCCTGAGCGGCGCGGGTCTTAAAGGCTTGGGGCTGCGAGGCAGGGACTGAGAGGACAAGGTAACCCCGAGGTGCCCCCCCCCCCCTCGGCATCCCATCCGTTCTCTTTCCTCCTCTAACGTCGGAAAAACTTTGCCACCGTGGTCTGGGACGTGCAGAGCCGCGGCCTGGGCCAGCCCACCACCCGGAGTCCCGCTTATCCGACCCGCTTCCCCGCTGCGCGCCCGCGCTCGACGGCGCCAGCGCCCCTGCAGAGCGCGCGCGGGCTGCGGCTACGTACGGTTGTTGGGGTCGCTGGTGTGCTGGTTGAGCGGGATGATCTCCATGCGCTGCTGGCCGTACAGGTAATAGTCCAGCTCCTCCGCGCTGCAGCGGAAGCGCGGCGCGCCCCGGCCGTCCACGCCGCTGCCGCCGCACTTGGAAGGCCCGGGACCCGAGGCGGCGCCGAGGCACAGGTCTTTGGGGGGCAGCGGCTCCGCGGCGACGGCAGCGGCGGCCAGAGGGGCGAACACCGGCAGCTGCGCCACAGGCAGAGCCGAGAGCCCCGCCAGCGCGGCGGCGGCGGCGGCGGCGGCAGCGGCGGCGCAGGAGGAGGCAGAGGAGGCCGAGGTGGAGGAGGAAGCCGGAGTGGAGGAGGCAGAGGAGAGCGAGGCGGGCCGCGGGCGCAAGCTGTCCGGAGGAGGCTCTGCGCGCTCCGGGGGCGGCGGCGGCGGCGGCGGCGGCTGGAGAGGCTGCGGCGCGCCCAGGGGACCCGCGGCGCCGCCGCCCTTGAGCGGGCCGCCGCTGCCGCCGTGCGGGAAGAGTTGCTGCCAGTGCTGCAAATAGGCTGGATCCACTTTGAGGAAGGCCGAGCCGCCGGGGTCTCCGGGCTTCAGCATGTCCGACCTCTCCAGCTGGGGGCAGAGGGCAGAGAGGAGGGTGCGCTTGAGCCGGGCTCGGGGCTGGGTGCGAGAGGGGCAGGGACGATGACCGCCAAGACCGTGGAGCGAGAGCTCAGCCCTGGGCTCCGCCTGCGGCAGCCCGGTTCCCCAGCTCCCTCTTTCCAACTCCGCTGGGGCGCAAAGTTTACTCGGAGGCGGCGGCGCCCGCGAAGCCGTGTGCACCCTTGCCTTGCCTCCAGCCCGCGACGCCCAGCTCCCGGCGCGCACTGTGGAAGCCGGCGCAAGGGCGCTCGCCCGCAGAACTCGGCGGCAGGACGCAGCCCCCGCCCTCAGCCGGCGCCCGGAGCCGACCCGCGCCGGAGTGGCGCAGCGCCGGAGCCGCGTTGGCCTCCGGCGCCAGGAGGCGGGACAGTCTCGCCCCCCGCCCCCCGCCCCCAGCCCGGGACCTGCAGCCTCCTATCTCCGGAGCCCAGACCCCCGGCCCTAGACGAGCCTCGCCTTACCTGGAAACTCCGAGCCGCCGGCGGGTGCGTGCGTGCGTGTGTGTCGGTGGGCGTGCAGGAGAGTGTGTGCGTCCCGGGTGCGCTACATGCCCCCCGGGTCGCGGAGGAGAGCGCGCTAGGTCTGATCTGACCGCCCGGAACCCTCCCGGGCTGCGAAAGATGGGCGGAGAGGCCCGCGGAAGGCGCTAGAGCAGTTGAGCCGAGCGCGCTGTAGCGCGGGCCGATCCGGGCGCGGATCCGGGCCGCGGCGGGCTGCTGCGCTCGGCTGCCGCCGCGTACCCGTTCCTCGGCTCCACGCTCTGGCAGCCTCCCGGCTGGACACGTGGGTTTTACGACAGCACAAAATACAAGTGTGTGTGTGTGTGTGTGTGTGTGTGTGTGTGTGTGTGTGTGTGAGAGAGAGAGAGAGAGAGAGAGGTGGGGAGGGGGGGGGGGGGGGGCGGGGGGGGGGGGGGGGAGGCGGGAGGCAGGCCAGAATAACGAAGGGGAGGGGAGAGGGAAAGAAGGAAGTTCTAACTCGGCTGGATCCACACACGGCCTGTGCGCCTCTCCAGCACAGATACCTCCTCCGCCCTCCCACCCCCCACTCGTTTTTTGGCGTGACGTCTCCCGCTCTCCTGTTGTCTCTTTCTGCCCATGATAAGTCTTTTCTAGGTGCCAGCTCACTGCCCTGATCCCGAAAGCCGTGGAAACACGGAAACCGGAATGCATCCCCGCACGCGCCCGGGTGTCGGCATCGGAGCAGGCGCGCCCAGCCGGCGAGTGGACCGAGTCCCAGGGCCGGGTTTGCGCTTTTGCCCGGCGCAGTTTTACCAGGAGTCCTGCTGGGTGCGAGAGTCGACTGGCCCGCCACGCAACTCTCGACCGAAATCCTGGCCGGGGGAGGCGGCGGCGGGCCGGGTACGACACCCTCAGTCTGCGCCGGAGGAGGCGGGCTTCGGTGAGCTGGGGGGCGGGAGGCCGAGGGTCTCTAAAGGGCGGCAAGTCCCCGCGGGACTCAAGCCTGGCCGCGGAGCTGGCAGGCGGCCGCAGTCGAGGGTCACAGGGCTTAGCGCTAAGGCCACCCACTCTCGAGTTTTCTGCCTGGGGAACGCGCTCCTTCTGCTTGTGGGCAGCGGGGGCAAGTACCCCGAGCCACGTTACAGTGTGTTCAGCTGCCCCCGGACACAGGCGAAGCTTGTTTGCCCTTGGCTGCTGGCGGCTGCCCCGGGGGGTCGTGGAGAAGTCTCTTGGCCCAGACCTGGCGTCCGAGGTGCAGGCTGGGAGAGCAGCCCCCCCCCCACCCCCACCCCCTGACTGTTCCAGGTGCCTTGGGCCCGGTCTGCTCCTCCCTGCGCGCTCTCACATCCACGAACTGGGCACCGACCGGGTGTGTGAGAATGACCGGCCCAGGCGCTTTCCCAACGCCGAGTTCTGTCCGCACTCGGAGAGGAGAAATGACATTTGTCTTTCCCCCAACCAGGCCAACTTGTTTAGCACCCGCCACTCTGAACAATTAATAGCCATTCCTTACTGATTCCTTCTTGTTTCTTTTTGTCTTCCCACCACTCCTGTCTCCTGAGCCTGGGAACCGCGCTGTTTAGACTTTGTCCGGGTCTCACGCAGGAAGCCTCGTCGCTGGTTGGAGCACAGTTGGACCGACAATGTTTTGACTGGCGTCGTTGTGACAAGGTCATCAGTCATTCTCGGATAGATTGATGGTACCCAGGTTTAAGGCAAACACCACGAGGGAAAACCCACGTGCTGTGGACCCCGAGGCTAACCGAGCAGTCTGAGCGCGGGCTTTGAACAACCCCATCGCGAGGAGACTAGGAAGTTCCAGGCCCGTTTCAATTAATTCGCTGGAAGCACTGCCGAAGAGTAGCTGCCGGCCTCGGGAGAAGGGGCAAGCGCTCTGCCTCACACTCTCCCGGCTCACTGCTGGGGAACGAGGAGGCTCCTCTCTTCTCTGGGTAGAGACCCCCCCCCCCCAGACCCCCAGGAAGGGAGTCCGGTCGCTGCGGCAACGGCCTCGCCGCCTCCTTGTTTGGGGCCAAGCCGCCTCGGCACAACTGTTTGGTCCCCAGGGCTGGCCGGCTCAGAGAGCTCCTCCCCGTACCGCCCTCCAAACACACTTGAAAAATCTCTAGATTTTGAGATGCCAGTTAGTTGCAACAACTGCCCCCAGGCCTCCTAGCGTCCATACCCTGGGAAGCCAGGGATTTTTCCCTTCCTAACAAGATTAACTGATCAAGATGAACTGATCTGTTGGTGAGAGCTTCGGATTGGCCAGGCTCGTGTAGGCGCTTCAAGTTCATTCCGCCCGGCAACTGCGAGGAATAAGCATTACCATTAATCCCATATTACAGATGGGGACACTGAGGCTCAGGAAGTGGGTTGCTTAAGGTCCCGCCATTAATGAGTGATCGAAATCGCGTCACTGCAGCGCCGCGTGTATTTTCCTGCCCACCCTAGTCAAACCTCTACTCTCACCTTCCAGACCGACGCCAGAAGGGTATGGGGCACCGCCAGGGAGGTTTGGCTTCCCTTGCTGTGAGGGTCAAGGGGAGAACCAGGGAATGGAGCGGAACGTCTGCCTCTTACTATGCAGGGTGTGGAGTCCCTCACTCGTCAGGTTCGCCCTCCACGCGCTGCGCCCCGGGAGTGGTCTCAGGGCGAAGGGACCCTAGGCCCCAGAGGCCTTCCGGACCTTCCGCGAAGGAGGCGATTGGAAGTTAGAGGGCGAGGCTCAGAAGGCTCGGGAATCCGGGAGAGCACGCAGAGGTCTGGAAGGGAGTGTGGTGGGCTTCCAGCGCCTCCCCAGGGGGCCCACGACGCGGGGCGGGGCCCTGCTCGCACCCAAGGGGGCCCGAGGGGCTGGGCTGGGACAGAGGTCCCCGCGGTCCCGCCACCCGCGGGCGCCCAGCTAGGTAGTCAGGACCGCGGGCTTTCCCCAGGCGCTAAGTGCTTCGGAGACCGCCACCCCCCACCCCCGCACCCACCCAGCTGATCACGGGCCCGCTGGCTCCCCGCCGCCCTGGCGCTTCTCGTCTGGAGAGTGGGGGCGGGGGGGGGGGTTAGAAAATGAGGCCGCCCGTCGCCAGGACGTGCACCCCTCAAACCCGCCCCCCTCCTCTTCATTATTTAGAAGAAGACCGCGGAAACAAATCACTTGGACCACTTAGGAAGCGATCAAACCTTTATAAAAATCCATCGCTCCCAAATCGATGGGTGAATATTTGCTGGGAATTTGTTCCAGAGGAATAAATAAGGAGGCTGAGCGTATTAAATGCAAACGGGGGGACACGGTGGTGTTTTTCTTCATTGATTAATGACCTCTAAAATAAAACAAGTGGGAAGAGGAGCCGGGATCGATAAATTAACTACCCAAATTCATCATTTTCTCCAGCAATTTTTTTTTTCCTTCCTGAAAATTATTCTTGGGATGCCCATTGTACCCTTCGCTGGGAGGGGAGGCAAGGAGTTGGAGGGGAGAGCAGGGAGAGGGAGCAGGAAAGGAAGGGGCAGGAAGAGAATTTGGTCACGGAGACGCTCTATCTGATTTCGTTTGACACACAATTTTAAAGTTTGCCTCTCATATTAATTATTTTTTTCCTGGCGGGGGAGGGGAACAAATGGTCGGTTGCCTTTGACAGGACTCCAATAAAGGATTCAGCAGCTCTCTGCCCTCGGCGCTCCCGCTTCTAGGTTTAAGGTCATGGATGGCTGAGTTAATAATTCATTAATATAGACATTTATTCAGAAGGGTTCTTGGAGACCCGCTCCCTTGCCTCCTCCCAGAGATTTATTTTCCTAGAAAATGGAAGGAGGGGGAACTATCGGGCTGCAGGTGAAAGGAAGGAAGAGGAAAAGGGAACGAAGAGAGAGCCGGACACAGAAGGAACCTTTGTTCAGCCAGATTTGTGGACAGTCGCTCTAGCCTGCGGACAAAAACTTGGTAGAAAACGTGGCATCCAAACAGCCCAGGAACTGTGGCCTCCAACATTCCTTTGCCTATGTCTACAACCGTGCCCTCGCCCTTATTCAGAAAGCCCCATCCTCCACGCTTCAAGATCCGGAAGAACCATCTAACTGAGACTCAGTAATGCAGGCAAAGGGGGGAAATCTCTGGATAGATGGGGCCCTCTCCCCTCCCCCACCCCCAGGAAGTTCCCAGAGGAGGAACTTTGCAACTCACCCAGAGGACACTCCCTTCCAAAGGGCACCGGCAGCTACCCCTTCTGGTGGGCACTACCCCTTCAGAAATGGGGGTTTCTGAAATGGGGGCATTCAAGCAGAACCAACCCACCAAGTCCAGATCTGCAGGAAGTTGACAGTAAAGTAAAGGAGTTGTGAGATGCTAATAAGTGCCACGGAGAGCAATAAAGGGGTGTTAGTGTTTGACATAGGGCTTCTCTTCCAAGGTGAATTGTGAATAGACACTGAAAGCAAGGGGGTGGCACTTTCGGGCCTTGAGTGGGGGGCCCAGGGCTAAGTTAGCAAAAGAGGCCTCCTCTGAAGAACCCTGAGGCTCTGGGGAGGATTCTGCCTGTCAGCTTCTGGCCACACTTGACTCCCTCTGCTTCTATCTGTTCCCACCTGGTCCCCAAGATGCTGTGAGCTTCTCGGGGTCCTTTCAAATACATCAGCTTGTGGTCTACATCAGCACAGTCCTCTCTGCTGCTGGCCACCGAGACCCTTACTCAGTGGCCAGCTCCAACCCCCCAGGGCCTCAGTGTCTTCAACAGTCAAACGCAAGGGGCTCACGTGGCTGGCTATCCTAAGGACAGTCATAAAGGAGCTACCCAATGCTGATCTCTCTATTACCTATTTTATACCCCACCTCTGTGAGTCTGAGATATATGGCACAGAAAATGTACAGAGAAACTGAAAACAAGGAAACGGACGCCCCTTATTTGAGCCACTGCCATCTGCCCACGGACCCGTCTGTGCCTTCACTGGTTTGTCCTGACTCGGTGATAGTGAACAGTGTGTTGGAAAGAAAGGGTGTGAGAGGGAAGACATAGGGCTCGAGTTGGGGGTGGGAGGGGAATGGAAGGTACTAGAAAGGTCCCCACGAAGAAGTCAGCTCTCTCCTCAAATGCTGCAGCATGGGGCTCTCTGGTCCTCTGAGGCCGTGGCAGTTCAGACCCATCACCTCCTCTGCTTGCCTCCGGTCACGATCGCATTGGGAAGGCAAGCGCCTCACTTTGCCAGGCCAGAGATGGCGTCTGGGGCCAGGAGCCCAAGCTTGGCCTCTTTCTGACCACTCCCTTTCATCCTCTGCCAAAATCACTGCAGACA